TGATGGACCCTCCCAGCAGCTCCCGACGGTGACCCGGGATCATGTAGCAGCCAGCTAAAACTTCCCTGCTGCTGCTGCAGCCCCCGGGCAGCTCGAATGTGCGTCCTGCAGAGCCACAACCGGTGAGCGGAGCGCGAGGGGAGCGTGCCGAGCACCGAAGGGCTTTGGCAGGGAAAATCTCTTTTTGCCAACTACAAGGAAGTCCCTCCACTCTGTTGACCTCAGCTGGGCTGCTGTGGCCCAGGACCCAGGTTTTACATGTTAAATTGAGACCCTGTGCTGCAGGCAGACACCAAGGGCGGCCAAGGGCAGGGGCCGATGTGCTCTGGGAGGGACGGAGTACAGAGGGAGCTGGCCCATCTCACTGTGCCTTGGGTCCCCGATGGGGCTGATGCCACAAGCACTGAGCTAGGCAGACAGCAGCAGGGATGTATGGCAGGAGCAGCCTCATTCTGCTTTTTGCTCTGCTTTCTACGCATTTTGAAGCTCCAGCACACAGGGTGCTGTTAGAAACCAGCATTGTAGCTACTGAGACTGGGGAAACCCATTGCAAGCAGATATTTTCACAGGGGTTTATTTGTCAGGGGGGGCGGGGGAGGCATTTAGGCACTGAGGAAGACAGGGGACTTTAATTAGGTGCTAATTGCAGCGAGTGATTGAAACTCATTTCTGTGGGGTTTGTGGTTTCTGCAGAGCAGGAATACCCTGCATCTCTGCAAGATATGTGCTGTGCTATGGGATAAATGTGAATGCCCCATAGCATCTGCTGAGTGCCACTGAGCCCAGAGGTTGCTAGCGAGGAGGAGACTTTAGCAGTGCTCTTCATGTGGCTATTCCCAGCCTGGTGCCAATGAGGCTGTGCCACACTCGTATCTGCTGGGAAGACCCTATGGGGAAAGCCCTGGGGTGGAATTTTGCTAACAAGTGGCCATTTCCAGAGCCTTTTCAGAGCATCACTATGGTGTGTTCATACGCAAGGTACAGGGGAGACCTAAGAAAAGGAATCGAGTCATTGCAGCCTCAGCTCCCCATGGAGCCTCAGTAAATACTGCATTTTCCAGAACCTAAATTTAAGGAAAAAAAAAAAAAAAGAAAGAAAAGGCTTTTTTTGGCTACTTTTAAATGGGAAGTTCCTAAATGTTGGAGTGCATAACACAGGGCTTGCCTTATCACCTTAGAATTTTGGTTTTTGTTTGAATGATGTTTACTTGTTTGATCTTTAAATATTAAGATATTTCCAAGATATTTAAATGAATGCTTTGGCTGACCTGAATTCTGGCTTGAGAAGACAGGAGAGCCGTGATGCTCCAAATTGATCAGAGTGTTGCTTTTACTGTAATAGGAAACAATATTGGGACTGTATGCGAAACAATTTTTAAATATTATTCTTGCTATCAAGAGACCATTTAGAACAGGAAAAATATGGCAAATGCTTGTTTGCCTCCCCATTGCACAGGAACCCCATTCTGGAGGGAGGTGATTGCAGCCAGGCCCACGGTCTCTTTTGCAGGTGCATTTAGGTTTTTCTCCCTGTAGGGACAGGGAAAACGTGGGGTGGGATATCTAATGAGAGGCAGCACAGCAAGGGATGGGTCCCGCTGGAGCGGCTGAGCTGCTCTTTATCCGGGCATTCCCCACTTCTGGAAACTTCGACTTTGCACCTTATTTCTGAGTCGTATTTCATGCGCGAGGACTCGGCAAAGAGGAGATTAAACAACAGTTGTTGTACTTCCTGGCAGTGTATTGATGACAACAACAAAATCACAGAGAAATGCCCAACTTGGCTTCTTTCAAAAGCAGATAGCACAAAGATATGCTAGTTTCTTTGGAAGAAGCCAGAATGCTTTGCTTGGAGTAAGCCCCTGTGATCTGTTTTGCATTTTACATGATCTTAAAATGCTGCAGAGGTACATCCACTGTCACGGTGATGGGGAAATATATGCACATTGCTAATGAAGAATTAACTACTCAATGCAACATGAACATCGCAGTTGAGCGCAGAATAACTTTAGTGTTTTTTTTTTTTCCCTCTATCAAAGCAATGTATATTATCCAGGCAGAATGACTTAACATTTCTGGAAGTAACACACTCAATATTCCTGCAGCAAACTCCTGGAAATTTGTTATTTTGTGGAAAAGTGTGGCTTTGGTGAGCAGGAATTGGGCTAATGACTCATCCTTCCCCCACTGATAATGTGTGATGGCCTGGGCTGAGGTCTCGCCTTCATAGGCCATGCTTCCAAAATTTAAGTCTTTGGAGTATTGTTATATGTGTTTTTCACAGGCTGTATTTTCAAAAAGCAATATATAGCACATCATGGGGGCTGGAAAAACAAAACCCTAGATTATTTCCCTTAAGGGAAAGTGACTTTCACCATGGAAACACTTTAAATATTCTTTTAGTTGTAATTTTTTTTAATGTGTTCATGCTAGTCACTTTTAATTATTCTAATTTTGAGCTCATGGCCCATTAGAAAGGGTAATTTCCAGCCTCTCCCCTCTTGCCTGCAGAGCGCAGGGTTTCTAGGCGATGGCTCTGCGGTCTGTGCTGTGGTGGGGAGGGGGTGGATCCGTAATCCCGTTTTCTCCTTGGTCACGGAAGTGGAAGGATGTTGGGGATTCTGCGTAAAGTCCTTCTGACAGCTTTCCCCTTGCGCCTGCAGAACCAGGGCTCCTCGTAACTGCAGCGGCACCAGAGCTGCTTGCAAAGAGCCCCGGTGCCTGGGAGCCGGCCCTGCCACAGCTGGGGCTACAGCTGCATTTGGGGCTACGGCTGCATTTGGGGCGCCTTGAGCCCTCATCCCACACCCTGCCATGGCTTGCAGAACCCAGGAGAGGACGTTGCTCCTGCTTTGCTGCTCCACAGCCGGTGGAAGAGAGCGGTAGCCCTGTTGGGATGCATGGCTTGGCCAAGGAAACCCCATCTGGCATCCCTTCCTCGGGAGGAAGGATGTGGATTAAGCCCCCTGTGCATAGCTTGGTGCCTGCATTTAAGCCCACTCCAAACCAGTGCCTGTAGGTAGGGCTGTCTTGTCCACCTGGGCGAGGTGCCATCTGTGACCTTCTGG